TTCACACCATACTGTCCACAACAATCTTCCCTTTGCCAACCTACTTTGTATCGAAGTCTTGTTTGGTGCCTCAATATTTGGCAATCACAAGTTAGATCTTGCTTTTTGCTAATGAACTCTGCTTGTCACATATGCATTCTCCTTTGGTTAGCCTTTTTTTTTTTTTTTATATGCTTGTCGAAAAAGATTTGCTGAGATTTCTTAAAGGAACTCTTGAAATTGGTGGTCTCCATGAGATTTTAACAACCAGGTCTCTCACTCCTTCAATGCTTTTCTTCTGATTTTCATGTTGGGTTTGGCAATGCTTCCTGGATAGCAGAATTAGCTATGGGTTTTTGTGTTTTTTTCTTGGTACCCAACTTGATTTCTTTGGTCTGCCAAGAAGCACCCACGGTTTCCTGTCTTTCACGTGAGGCTTGATATAGAGCTCATGCTCAACTTCTGCTGAAACGCTATTGGCTTGGTATGTTTTCAAAAAGATCTGCATGTTTCTTCTTTGTTCGCACTACTTATGGTGTGACAATTATCTACTATTCCTTTTGTCTAGAAATCCTGTAATTTACATGCACGTTCGAGACATGTTATTGAAGTCGTTATCATTATGTTCGGCGACGCATGTGGTTTCTAACTAATTAAAGTTTTGTCCCAAATCACATTCCTACTTCTGATCAGTCTTGCAGATATTACTTACATTACCCGTTTCTTACCTCTGGTTTCATTTCTTTTAAAACAAGCTTCTGGCTTACGCTTCCCCTACTCCATCTGACGGAGGATGTTAAGACTACTGAGAATAACAAGCTCAAGCTTCAAGCTCAATCATGCACAGCTCAAGTCAGAAACCATAACTTCCTCACAGCTTCAACGCCACAGTAGTACGTAGCTTCCTCTTTGTTGCTAAGGCCGTTAGATAGTTAGATTTGAGTTGTTAAATCTAAGTTAAAGTGTAACTATAGTTTAGGTCAGTTGTTAGTTAGTTGACTTTTATCTTTATAAATACAATGTAAATACTGTAGATGGATCATTAGAATACGAATCCAGTTCTTCTTTACTTGAACACATTCCTGGAGCCACATATCCTCGAGTTCCTCTTATCCAATTATGAAGTCCACAGACTGATGTAAACATCAAAGATTTTTGCCAGATTCCAAAGTACGGATTTCGTGTTGTGAGAAATATTTCAATCGATGATATGTTTTGAGGCCTTTTTATGTCACAATGGATGGTGGGCGGGGTGCATCGCAAATTTCTTCATGGCAAATACAACTAGTCTCTTGCAATTTCCCCGCGCTACTTGAAGTCTTTGAATACCAACTGGGTTCTGTGGATGGCTGAAAAGTGAAATTTAGCTAAACTTTCATTCGGTCATGAGGCTTCAGTATACTAGAAAGATCTTTGAGGCCTCATTTATCGTACGTATCCATCAATTGGGACTATTTTTGTGTGAATGGGTTTCCCGATTGCACTCACTTCGGGTTAATTTCCCTCTCTCGACTAACTCATTCTTTTTGACCAACTCTGATCTAACCTCTTAGACTGCATACTTGACTTCTTGGAACCAAATTTTTCAGTGCAACCTTTAATTATAACAATAAACAAAAGAACCATTCCCATTCTTTGCCTTGAAAACTTGTGTTTGCTTCATTGATTATTCGACCGAAAAATACGCCTAATTGATTCAGGAACATTAGAATCAATATATAGTGCATTTTTCAATTTTCTTGTGATGCTATGAGAAAACACTAGAGAAATATACTAGCAAAAGAATGTTGAAGATGCCCAGAGCCGCCAAAAAGAATTGACCACAAGAAATAATGACCTCTCTTTCTTTGGGAGTAGGAATGGATCATTAGAATTACCCAGAGAAGGAAACCTATACTTTCCTTGTTTGTTGATGGCTTTGCACTCTCCTTTTCTCCCATTAGATCACGGAAAGTCTT